TCAGTTTTCTTAAATTACTGTAAAATACTTGATTTTCACTCTTTTTGCTGAAGGGATATGATTCAGTGAAAATAAAATCCAATGAATGTACCCTTTTTCCTGTATTTTACATTAAACTCATCAAAAATTAGTGGAAATAAATTCTATAAAAACACCAAAAAAGTTAATACATTATCGTTTGTTGAGGTCTTAAATCATTTTTTCTGCACTTTGACCTTTTTTTTTTGTACATTTCAGGATGACAATTGATAATGAAGGCAATATATCGTACAGCCATGTAAGGTAGAGTCAATATTTTGTTAAATATCAATAGAAACAGTAAAAAATAACATTTGAGAAGTTGTCTATAGTCTCATCATCCTCAGAATACACACAATTCTAATAGATACATGACTAATACATTTAATAAGTTTCTAACCGTATTAACTGGACAGTGCCTGACTGTTTTATCATCTTTGCAACTCTACAGGGATGGAAACTGGGATGTGAATGATTATTTAATCAGTTTAAGAAATCAAGTGAAGAATTGGCGTGAGGTTTACTGGAGAATTTGGGGTTCTATCAACTACTTGAAATGTTCTCGTTGTCAGCAGGTTGGTATTAGATTTGTTTTATTGTTCTTATAGTGAGGGATGAGTGGTGTGCTTGGTCGGATACACTGAAACAACCATTATGGTAGATAACAATTTATTTACATAACATTGACTGACGAGAGTTGCTTCACATCTTTACTTTCCTTGTGTGAAAAATCCTATAAATTAACATGTAATCAATGTTCATATTCACAGTTGTAAATAAACCCCCAAAAAGCTGGGTTAGTTGATCTCTTGACAGTTAGTAATGTGTCAGTCACATATATTACTGACATTGTTTTAGTTCAGCCCCATCTCTGCATATTCTAGGAATGTTAAAAATAGGAATTTAAAACTTATTTTCAAATTATGTTTTAGTGAATAATATTGTTTGTATTTTTTATCAGACTTTTCCTTGTGTGGAACTATCGCAGTGTCAGTATCATCCAGAACCTGCCCAGTTTCTAAATACAGTGGATAACTCAGCAACTGGTGCTATTGGTATCTACCCATGCTGCAAACAAAGAAGTCTACGATTTGATCCAACACAACAAAACACAGTGAGTAATTACTTGTTTATATGCTTTAGCCAATATCAGATCATAGGAATTGACTGGTACAATTTAATTCCATACCCTTCATGAATGGTATTCTGAGATACTGATTGTGTTATGACATACTAGTTAACTTGAATAAAATTGCATTTTGGGAAATCAGTACGAAGGTTAAATTGAATTATTGGATACAAATATAGGTAAAATTTAATTTTGGAATACCGGTACTTTTTTTAGCTATTTGTTTAGGTACATGTGCTTCTGAAAGAGAAAACAGGGCAAATGTCCTGTCATGAGATTCATGTAAAGTCGATAGACAATTTATGTTGAGTGTAAAAGTAGATTGATGCTCATCGATTAATAGAAACGTAATCAATATGTT